CGCAGACAGGGGAAATAGCCCGAGAATGTCCATGCCCACTTGGTCCAACTGCGTGCAAGGTGCTTCAATGGGCTGAAGCAAACCAGCTGGCTTAACAGACGGTTGCTTGCGGCACTGACATTCCTGACAGCTCTTGACGTACTTTTTTACGCTTGCCGAAAGTCTTGGCCAATAGTACCTCTCGCTCACTGTGGCAAATGTCCGTGAGTAGCCCAGATGACTGGATGTGGGTTCGTCATGGCAAGCGAAGAGGACGTCGTCTCGCGTATCTCGAGGAACCACCAGGAGGTAAGCCCGGTTGTTCGAACAAGCGTTCTTCTTGTACAGCACACTGTCTCGAAGGCAGAACGACGTCAACAAGCGGGATAAATGACGTGGTATGAATGTGCCCTGGCCCTCTAAATGATCGATGATCGGACGAATCTCTGCGTCATCTCGCTGCTGTTTGCTCAAGTATGATGAGCTAATGGCGCCCAGGAAGCCTTCGTCTTCCTCCGCTTCCTGACTGACTACATGAAGGGGTGCGCGAGACCGTGTGTCAGCGTCTTCATGCTTACGGCCGGATTTATGGACGATGGTGACGTCAAATTCCTGCAGCCACAAGCTCCACCTTGCTAGCCGTACTGAAGGGTCGCACAGGCTTGCCAACCAACAGAGGGCGTGGTGGTCCGTCCCTATCTTGAAGGCACGACCATATAGGTACGGGCGAAACTTGGTTATTGCCCACACGACAGCGAGGCACTCTTTCTCCGTAGTGGAATAATTCGCCTCGGCACGGGATAGAGAGCGGCTGGCATAGGCTATCATTCTTTCGATGTCCTCTTGACTCTGAACAAGCACTGCACCGAGCCCAATGTTACCAGCGTCAGTATGGACCTCGTGTCAGCATCATAGTCGAAATGAGCGAGAACGGGCGCCGATTGCATGCGCTGTCGCAGTTCATGAAAAGCTGGTTGTTGCTCGTTTTCCCAGACAAACGGCGTGTCGTCCCTTGTGAGACAGAGTCAAAGGTTCCGCTATCTGTGAAAAGCCGTGAATGAACCGGCGATAAGAGGCGCACAAACCAACGAAGCGCCGGACGGCTTTCTTATCGACAGGAGCTGGTAATTCGGCAACAGCGGCAAGCTTGTCCGGATCGGGCCGGACTCCTTCGGCGCTAACTACATGTCCAAGAAATTTTAGTTCTTCATAGCGGAAGTAGCACTTCTGTGGCTTTAGTGTGAGGTCTGCCGATCTAAGAGAACTTGTTGTTGGGCTAGTTGGTAGAGCATTTCGAAAAGTTATTTCGAGTGCGAAAACTTGACACGATCACACACGCACACACCCATGCATCAAACACACAGTGCTCACTTCCAACTGATTTATTCATAGCTCGAAGGCTTGAATATATACAGGACACATTGTGCGCACACACACCAAAGAAGGCCAATAGCATACATTATCAAAACGTACAGTTAATCAATGTCATAGCCTTGAAGCGATAAACTGAAGTTCGCTTGGTAACAACGAAATTGAAGGGGCGCTTACACAGTGATCTTCATTTTTTTCAATGAAAAAATAAAAATCACTTGTTTGGTGTGTGTGCGCACAATGTGTCCTGTATATACTGAAGCCTTCGAGCTATGAATAAATCAGTTGGAAGTGAGCGCCGTGTGTTTGATGCATGGGTGTGTCCGCCGATCTGATAGCCTACACCACGCTGCGCAGGCGGTGAAGGTGCTGCTCGAATGTGGCAGCGAAGACCACCACATCATCCAGGTAGACAAGACAAGTTTGCCACTTGAGCCCTGTGAGGACAGTGTCCATCATTCGCTGGAAAGTTGCCGGCCCTGAACACAAGCCGAAAGGGAGTACTCAAAATTGGAATAGGCCGTCTGGAGTCACGAAGGCTGTCGTCTCGCGGTCTCGCTGATCTACCTCGATTTGCCAGTACCCGCTTCTGAGATCGAGAGAAGTGAAATAATGGGCACGACGAAGTATATCCAGCGAATCGTCGATACGCGGCAGCGGGTAGACATCCTTTTTGGTCATGTTGTCAAGCTTTCGGTAGTCGACGCAGAAGCGTAGCGACCCGTCCTTTTTTTTTTTTTTTTTTTTTTTTTGACAAGCACGACTGGAGATGACCATGGGCTGTTGAATGGTTCGATAACGCCATCGTCAAGCATCTCGCGGACTTGCGTACGTATCGCTTCACGTTTTTTAGCCGAAACGCGGTATGGCTGCTGGTGTATTGGGCGTGCGTCCTAGTACATGATGAGCCTGTGTTGAGTGATGGATGTCTAGCGGATCTTAGAGCAACTTGCGAAGCCACCCACACATAGTGGGTCGACAGCAAGAGCGGTTCTCAATCCGAAGAAAAAAGAGGATCGCGTGCTTCCTGGCGGGGTCTGCAGCATCTGTGAGACTACCCAGCACCTCCACCAGTTTGTCACGAGGAATCAAAAGTACTGGGGGTTTATTAGACCACCGAGTAGCTAGCTTTAAGACGATGCGTCAGTCGTGGCTAGCTCTCGAGTCGCGAAGAAACACGCGACCTCTTTTTCCTTCAGATTGAGAGCCGCTCTTGCTGTCAACCCACTACGTGTGGGTGGCAATATGCAAGTCATATCCTTTCAAAGTCTGAGCGTAACTACTCTAAAACAGAACGAGAAGGCCTTGCTCTTGTCTGGGCGGTTTCCAAATTTTGTCCTTGCTTGTATGGCCGCCCATTCCTTGTCGTCACAGATCATCACGCCCTCTTTAGGCTTTCTTCACTGAAAGACAGTCCTGGACGACTTCGTCGTTGGGCGCTGCTCTTTCAAGAGTACTCCTACTCAGTTGCCTACAAGTCTGGAGGCCTCCATCTGGATGCTGATTGCTTGTCCTTGTTGACCAGGCACCTTGTTGACCAAGCAGATGAATCAGTCAGCGAGCCTGGCCCCAGCGTCATGTCCATGTCTAGGTTTCGTCAGATTGGTGACGAACAGCGTCGCAATCTTTTCTTGCGGTCACTCATTGCCCATCTAGAATGTCACTCTAACGACGTGTCACTCCGCACATTCATCCTCCTAAATGGCACGCTGTACCGTCGTAGCGTCCAGCCAGATGGCCCTGAGCTACTTGAAGTCGTGCCTAACCATCTCCGTTCAGCGGTGTTGCATGAGCTTCACGACAAATGAACTGCCGGCCTCTTGGGCATATCTCGCACGTACGACCGCGTCCGGCACCGCTTCTTTTGGCGTGGTCTCGCGCGGTTTGTTCGGCATTACGTGGCCTCCTGCGATAAATGCCAACGTCGAAAATGACTTGCCGCACCCCCTGCTGAACTCCTTCACCCGATCTCCATCCCTACCGAACCTTTCTTCCATGTTGTTCCGAATCATACTCTGGGAACAAGTGGGTCGCCGTTGCTATAGACCATGCGACCAGGTTTGCCATCATTAAAGCGCGCCCCACCAGCACTGCTACTGACATTGCCAACTTTTTGCTCCATGATGTAATTCTAAACCATGGCACTCCTCGGCAATTGCTCACCGATCGTGGACACGCATTTTTGTCACGCATACTCGACGACCTTTTGCGCTCTCCCTCAATGCAACACAAACTGACCACTCCCTACCATCCTCAAATAAATTGCCTTTCCGAACACCTAAATCGCACCCTCACGGACATGCTCTCGATGTATGTCTCATCTGACCACCATGACTGGGATCTAGCGCTACCTCACGTGACGTTCGGCTATAATTCATCTCGTCATGATACCACAGGTTATTCATCTTTTTATATGCTGTATGGCCGTAGTCCGACCATACCAATGGACACCCTACTAATGACTACTACACCTCCGCCGAGTGAATAAGCACGTGACGCTATCGCTCGTGCCGACCACGCACGTCAGATTGCCCGCTCTATGCTGTTGGCTTCTCAAGCAACCCAGAAGGCTCTCTACGACAGCAAGCATGTCGACATTGACTTCTCACCTGGTTCTCTAGTTCTCTGGTGCCGAGTTCGTCATGTTGTATTGTCAGAGAAGTTACTATTTCAGTACAAGGAACCTACGTTATCATACGACAGGTAACAGACGTTACCCATGAGGTCATTCTAGTCCCCGGGACTAACCTGTCTGCAAACTCCCCTAGTGACGTAGTCCATGTTAGTAGGTTGAAACCATACTACCTCCCTTCTGAAGAACACGTATAAAGTGCACCGAGCCGGTGCTGTTACAACCGAGAGTAATGCTACGTAGCTATCACATGAAGGGTGAACCATTCTGCGGACAGAAGACGAAGAAGAGGACTGGTTTGCTCTCTCTGTGTGCTGCGCTTCGATTTTATCGGTGTAAATACATTGGCAAATAGTCACGTCCTGTCTCACTCTATGTAACAATATCATGAAAGACAGATATTAATGCTAGCCTATGCATAAGGTAAGAAAAAATACAACAAAGAATAACTGAAAAACTATCATTGCTGAAAAACCCCACATCTCCCCCACCCATAACGACTCTGTTGTTACGAAATTTGGCCGCGAACAAGCAACACAGATCCAGTTAAGAAGTGCACACACAAAAACGATGATAATTATCAGCCACAACAGATGATGATGATTGACTGCTGCTCATACAAGGATGAAGTGCATAACATATGCCTACATTATTATTATTATTATTGTTATTATTATTATTATTAGAGATGTACAAGGAGCAATGCCAGAAGCACTGGCTATGCTCAGAGGTCAAATGACAATGCTCTAACCTCCAAGGACGAACACTGATACTTATGTTCTACACAATAGAATCACGGCATTAAATTCGATATTAAGCACTGTCCAATATTAAACTACCAGTGGGCCATCTAGGAAAACCCAAGTCCAGAGCCACTGTCACGAAATACATCTTGATCAGGGCAAAAGACAGACAGTTGCATTATTTCCATCTAAAGACATATGTCCACCTTGTCAGAATCTACGCATTCATCAAAGCTGGAGTGGTATGAACATGGCACTACCAAAAAGTGGCTCACCTCAGAATGAAGCCAAACAGGTGGTCTGAGTAGGGGAGCACAAAGAGGGCTTTTGGGGGAATCTCGCAAGCATTGCACAAGGCGTGCGCCCGCTCCGTGGCCAGCATATTGTCTCCTGGCAGGACATGCACAGGGCCAGAAGGAAAACTGGCTGATCATACCACTGGACAATGTAACATGTCAAAGACACTCGAGCATTGGGATAGTGTAATACATTCGTGTGATTGGTTTACGAGGTTCAATATCTCAATAAAATATCATTTAATGCATCACTGTCATGTCACATGCTTTCAAACATGCACAAACTATTGATTTAGTTCAAGCCGGATGGGGAGAAGTGCCCGATTTGTACAAGTACTCACAAACCCTGTTTTCTAGCTTGTGATTGCAAGAATAACTCCCAGCAACATTTCAAACAGCTGCCAAACGTGATTAAATGTAGCTGTGAAAGCTCAATACGTCTTCAGAGTGGTGTTACCTTCAAGGAAATTCGGGGAAGCTTTAATACAGTAAAATTTAGCGTGGAATGTGGCCTTGAAGCTCGAAATTTGACGGCATGCTGGTTCTACTATATAAGATATGCTACTGCTATAAAAGCATGCTTCTTTTAGTGTTTCCTGGAAAGTCTAGTGAAAATTTGTAAACATGCAGAGTTCTTCAACAACTCCGGTGGTTTTTACCGCATCATGGAAGCGCAGTGGTTGCAACTTTTGACCGCGCATATTCAACATTTTAGGCTATATATCAGTGTTTCTATATACACATATACATCTTAAAATTGCCTCGTATTTATTAAATCAACATCCAGTATGAATGAATCAGCGCTTTGAATTTAGCAAGAGATGAGGATCAAGCAATACATCACATGACTATTGCCTTGTTCTCATGTCTTGTATTGCGTTGATTTATCCCTACGGTGCTGTAGCGCATTCCAAGTTTGCTTGGCCATGCAATGTAGATTCCTAGTCCTTTACTTTGCTCTGTAGCTTACTGATGCTGTATTTTGCCTCTACTGCTAAGGCAAAAGCCTTACATTCCTCCTCAAATGTAAAAATTGACCCACTGCCTCATGCGCCGGCAGGGTCAGCATGCGACACAAAAAAGGCTATTTGCTCATGCTCATGACACATTGTATCGAAAATTCACTTTTCACGCTTTTACAGCTTGCGCAAGTATTGTACAGCATTGTCGTGCAACCGCTCTTGCCCCATCACCCTAGCAAACATCTATTAGTAGCGCTGAAGTCTCTGCTGCATGCAACAGATTTGAGCTTTAAATTTTTCAACAGTAACGAGCTGCGCGTAGTTACTTCTGTTTGGTATGTTGCCTCTACACTTTGAACCATTCCAGTGCCTGTTTAAAGGATAACGGCGAGTATTTCACTCACCGAGCTTCTCTATTCCTGTCTTGCAACAGCCAGTGTGATCACCTTCATTAACTATGTCATTATTCATGGCAGCTGTGGCAAGAGAGCTCTTGTACAGTGCAGCCTCAACAGTCTCCAGCTCACCTGACGGTTCCCGGCATTGCTTGGTAGGCGAATGAGCTCAGGACCTTTTTGCACTATATGAATACGTCGGGAGACCGTGCAAAATCCTTGGCACTAAGTCTCGCAAAGTTTCAGAGCATCGTGAGGTGACTTGACAACAACACCTTCAGGTAGTCACTAGTCCACGCTAACGCTGTCACTCTCAAGTGCTTTTCCCACATGCGCTCTTTCGGAGAATGAAACGTGAAACCACTAGTTTCTTATAACCGTACTATGTGCTTCCACTTTTCCTGCCGTTCACTGCCTCTAGGCAGCGAGACCTTTTCATCATTTCCCTTGCCACTGAATCAACAACCAGGTACACTGCGTTATACAGCATTCTTCTCGATTTTCAGGCACAGCACACTATGCACAATAGTAATCGTATGGTGAAACTGCGCAATGACACGCCACAGTATTATGCATTGACCCTATAGCTGCACCACCCGCCCACTTCGCTCCGGTCTGCGTGATGCCGCACGTGAGGATGCAGCACCACCCGGCAGCCTCCACTCGCAGCGTGCAAAGCTCTCCCATAGAGTTACGGCGAAGGTCCAGGACCAGTAAATGTATTGAAGGACTCTGGTTCTACTGTATTATATTGTATCATAGTGTGTTACCACTGTACCACACATTGAGTTCACTTTTTCTTATAAACTCACAATTGATTACATAAAATAATTTTTCGTGGTATAAAGCCAGGTTTATGCAAAACTGCATGAAAAGGGTTTAATCATACCTGTGCCATCAATTTCCTAGAAAATTGACATCAAATTTCTCTAGATCACTTGATCATCACTGGTTAAGTAAACAATTGTGACAAATGTTTTGATTGACATAAAAATTATGGACACAACACCAACATGGCAAGCAACCAGACTATGTTACATCATTATCCCAGTGCTTAGGCAAACAACGGCAGTTCTCACTGTAACTAGCATGAATCGATAACTTTTTTCATTAATTCATTCAGACTTTACTCAAGACAAATTTACAATTGTCTTAGGAGATGCAACAAAAGGCCCGAAAGATGCCTGTCTAGGCTACATCACCGAGACAACAATTACAGCAGTGCGTGATGTCGTTCACAATTTAACATAACCGCAATAGCACTTTATGATATAATAGAAGAAAATAGAAAAAAACTGCTCTTGTAGCTTTGAGAGGAAAACACAACAGAAAAAAAAAAGACCAACGAGACGGTTGTGCAAATGTGGCAGTGTCTACTTAAAAAAAGGATTTTATAATATACATTGCTAGGCATTTCACAATAGTTCAATACATAACTAAGCACTACACCTTAACGGAGCACTGACATCAAATTTACTAATGTCAAGATTTTTGCGCCGAGTAGCTATCGACCCCCTAGTAGCGATTCGCAACCTAAAACGCATACGAGGTACGAATGAATATCTGTAATATTGATTAATATATCCGCTATTGTACGAAATTGAAAAATGAGTCGAAAGCCCGGTAAATTGTAGTGCTGTCAGCGCTACCTCGCGGCCACGTCGAGGCCGCTGCACAGCTGATGCTGCTTTCACAAAAAATGATGACGTCACGCACACTGGCATTTCGTCTGCTAGGAGCACACGTGCAGTCAGTCCAGCTGTGTCTCTGATAATGTAGACTAAAGCCCTTCTATGCGTTTTCCGCTAGCTAGGTTAAGCAGCGCCAACTCGTTCTTCTCCTCTCCGTTTAGCCCCAGCCTCGAGAAGGGGCCTCGTACTGCCATTGAAACCCAACTCGTTCCCCAACCCAGGATTTACTCTGTAGCAGCTCAGCGCAAAGTGAAGTGAGAAAATGCGGCTGTTCTTTTTAGACACAGCCCCTTTGTCTATCGGCGCAGACGAAGTCACCCAACTGGCTGCGTGGAGGTTCGAGGCTTGGAAAGGCATGAAACGCCACGCTATTTCCGCTTTTTCCGCGCCTCGACGTGCAGGTTCTCACTGCGCAGCGGTTCCCCGACATTCTGGCACGTGTTGTGACTGTGAATGATCGCACTTATGTTGAGCACATGTCAAATCAGTAAATGTGGCAGGATAAATCACACGCACGCTTCAACACAGCAAGGAGAGCCATTAGTGTGGGCATGGCCGGGAGTTGGCTCCAAACACACTCAGATCGTCGGCGTCATTGTTACTAGCGTATTGTCACTCTGGATGGTATTTGTGGAATGTATCACACCGAACACGTAGCACTAGTGTCGATGTCGCAGGGCAGTCTATTTTCTGTTTTCTCTTCTCACCTTCTCTTCACTGACATCCAATTGAAATAACTTCCACACGACGGATGCCATTCAAACTTGGCCAAGAAGACTTATGCATACCAAGCGATCGAACGATAGGCACGTCTCGATCTTGAAATTTGATGTCAGTGTTCCTTTAAAACTAAAAAAACAATAATTTTTTACTTGCCTTTTGAATTGAGTTGGAGAGATTCTATTTTGCAGTAAGTTTATTACGCCTGGGTATTCGTTTAAAATGTCAGTTATTAATGTTGTCATTTTTTGTAAGCCGTAGTTTGTTCGTGATTGGGATTTGACAATTTCGTTTTTACGTAGTTCATAGGGAGTTTGTTTGATGTGATATTTTTCCACAAAAACAGTTTTATTACTTGTATATTGGCACATTACCTCCAACGACAACCTTAATTTAAGTAGGTGCTTTATTGGCAATATAGTATAGTAGCTTAAGTATGTATGGAGTTGTACTCACAGCGTATGGTATATTTCCAACTGCTCGAATTGCCCACTTTTGCAACGATAAAGGTGAACTTAAGTTCGTCTCAGTGGTTGTAGACCACACCACAGCATAGTAAAGCTGTCCTTTCGCATGAGGTGGTAGAAAGTGCCTTAATTTATTAAGTAACCTGACTGCTTTACAGACATTCCTCCTTAATAAATCCACATGTAGCATGCATGAGAGATTACAGTGAAATATTACCCCTAGAAATCTGATGGTTGATGTCTGATGTAGAAGTGTTCCGTGAAATATCAGCAATGAGGTTTGTTGATATCCCTTGGCTTTTAATAAGACGAATTGTGTTTTCATTGTATTAAGTTGAAAGTTTGTTAGCGTCTAACCAAGAGTTAAGTTTTTTAACCATATATTCGCCTGCATAAAGGTGTCATTCAAATCAATCCCAGAAATAAAAAACATTCAAGTCATCTGCGTATAATACTCTATTTTTTCATTCTTCTATATTAACAATGTCAATTATACAAATTAAAAACAAAACCGGTCCAACAATAGACCCCTGAGGTACTCCATATTTTGTAAGGTGGGTTGCAGATTTAAAGTTACTGATAACTGTGTACCGTGACCCGTCAGGTAAATAGTTTTTTATCAGAGACAGCACCCCACCACGGAAGCCGTAAAGAGGTAATTTTTGAAAAAGAAGCTCCTGTTCTAGAAAGTCAAAGAACTTTTTAAAGTCGAAAAAGATTCCTAGTGTGAAGCTGGCCCTTTGGACTACTCCGAAGGGCCAGCTTCTTTACGCATGTAGCTGAAGATGGTGCTCTTTGCATTGAACCACAGCATTAGAAAAAAAAAAATCACATTTGTATTCATCATTCACTAATAAGAAATGCCATGAAAAGTGATTATGTCACCACAATTTCTGGAACTGTCAAGGATCCAAACTTAATGGCCCAAGACATCTGTGTTTGAAGATTTTCAGACCTAACAGCAACCTGCTAGGGCAAAAACATCAGCTACGCCTCCAATGCCTTATTGCTAAATGAAGCACTGTCACTGGCTGGAAAAAGTTTGCCAGAACCAAAAAATAATGCGACCAACTTCACGACCAACACACAGCAGTCAGATGCAAAATGACACTCACCGACTGGTATGGAGAGGTTGTTTTGAACCAGGACCAAGGCCACCTTGGTGTTCCTGCCCTGTAGACTTGCCCTGGTAGAAACAACAACAACAAAAAAAATAAGTAATATAAACGAAGTGCCCACACCAACAAAGTACCCATCAAACATATAAAGCAACTAGCATCACATACTTGTTCCAAGAGTTCAGTTTTAAAGGGGCCCTGCAACACTTTTTGGGGCCTCCAAAAACAGGCGAGCCAAATATTATAGCACGGGACGCTACCTGGAATTCACAATAAATTCTCAGTCAGCTATAAATTGCTTTCTTTTCTTTCTACAAATGACGATACAAGCTCAAAAGCCATTTATCACAGCCATTGGCTGATTTGAGCATGTCGGTCCTTACTGGAGTCATGTGGGAGGCCAAGACTTGCCCACGCATGCATGCGCAATTGCACCGAAGATCCACATATTTTCGCACCGAAAAGCCGCGAAGAAAAAAAGAGCACAAGGTCATTCAGGCCAACAAACATGTTTCCTCCCCCCCCCCCACCCCCACCCTAGCTATCTCTCCCTATTTAGCTTTCAGTGCATTTGCCGGGATGAGAGAATGCTGTTGCAGCGCACGACAAATCTTTATAACTTTGCTCGTACTGGGTGAATTCTAAAAATTTTATGGCAGTGAACTTATGAGATGATAGGCTCTTCTAGTGAATTCATTCCATTGCTACTTGAAAAAGAGTTGTAAAGCCCCTTCAAAGACGGCAGCTACTGCGGAGCCACAAGACCATGTGCACTAATGACACAAGTCTCCCAACTGCACCCTCTTTTCATTGTGGTGACAACTACACCTTAGGTCTTCCTTTTGTTGTGTAGTCTATTACTTGAGCCCAGAAGTATACGGATAAAGCAGCAATCTTGCATAATGCTTTTTTCATCAACAACAACAAAATAAGTATCCGAAAGCATTACGCCTTGGCAAGCAAGACTGTTTGTAAAGCAGCCCTCTTCTCTTCCCCTCGCAATATCGGTCTAACAGGTGATTCTAAGGCACACCACACTAGGCAGAAATATTTGTTGGCCTGTCCTGCTGTAGTTTTAACAGCACTGCACAATGGCTGAGGCATGGCAATCACCTTGCGGAACCGATACTCTCCTTTTGGCTTCACTTGCATAGCTATACAGCCATGTGCACTCATTTCTCTTGTTTTATGCAATTTGGCTTCACCCACAAAAAGCTGTTACTACCACTCGTTGCAGGCCATGCCGCAATATTTAGAAACTGCACGATTGTTCGAGACCACTCCGAAGGGTCAGCAAACAGGCTGACACTTGGTTTTTACACCTCCCAAACAAGCTGCCCAATTCAAGGAGAAGGTCTCAGCGATCACGCTTTATGGATATCACAGCGCTGACCACCGCACAGCCACTGCATTTCGAAAAACAATTCTCGTCCCTCTCTCTACCACCTGTTTCATTCTCCTCGTCTACATAGTGATGTAATCTTGCCCATGGGCAACAATACTCAGCACCAATTTCATGAAATGGTCCTTTTCACTACGAAACGGTGCCTTGGCACTGCGATGATGCAGCTTCAGGCCACACAACCCGCACTTTCATGTTTCTGTGGTGCCCTCTGCCATTTTAGTAGAACCTCAAGGCTACCAGGACAAGCAGTACTACCACAACGAAAGCCTCCGCAATAAAGAGTTGTCTCAAAGCTTCTGTGCTGGGAGAAGAGTGCACACCTCACCAGTGACATGCACCCTTCGCACCACACTTCCTCCCCACACCAGCATGACCTGCGGTGAAAGCCTTACTCAACCGTTGACTGTGTGCCGATGATATAATCACTGATGTCAAGTTACGTTACCGAAGTTGGCGTAGTCACGACAAAGGCATACGCCTACCTACCTTTGCTGCCGAGAAGGTTGGGAAGGCCGAGTGAGAAACCGAAAACAGCCAAAGCAGGCTGTTCTACACCTTGTATAGTGGAGCAGATACACTAACGGGTAACTTCTTTACTACATCATTTATTTGCAAAGTTCTCGACACAGCATGCTCACATCATGCATGTGTGCAGTTATTTCTCCATAAAGAATATTGAATCAAGAGGTTATTTACTGGCCCTTGAAGATTATGCACAGGACATGAGTAACCAAGTATATTCTAGAGCTAATGCAAGCACAAGTGATAAAACTGCAAGGTGCGACAAAGTGTTGATAAAAGCTGACAAATTTGACAGATTAGTTGATGAGTGAATACCCAATGTCCATCATCACTGCTCTCCCTGTACAGCAATAGTGCCTGTACTTTGAATCTTTCTTTTACAGGTACCAGTTCGCTCAGTAAAGTGTTTCATCTTTATCAACTACTTTCTGCTTCCTCATAAAGAGACCGTGACAGCACACTCGCTCCTAATTTATCACTCTCCCATGCTTAGAACAACTTGGATGGGTACAACCATAGAGTTTTATAATGTACACTAAAGGGAACTCTGCCACTAGTGTCTATGGGAGCTGCAACACACGGCACTTCAGCGAGCATGGGAATGATGGGCAGTACACATACTTGTCTAATATTCGTACTTCTGGCCTGCTTTTGGCTCTGTGTGTGTTCGTGTGGCTTGGAGCTGTTTTCTTACGAAACAAATATTAGCAAATGTTCAGCAGTTGCACTTCACCATCTTATTTTTTTAGACTTGCCTTTCCAAATCGAGTCACGAAGTTCAGAAGGGTCGAATCTTTCTTTCAAAACAAAATTGAAGCACAGCAATCAACTAAGCCGCAAGTACGATTCACCGCCCGCAAGTACAAAGACCAGGCAAATGTGTGTACTACCCAACATTCCCATGGTCGCTGAACGATCGCAGCGCCAGAGTTCCCTCTAGTAATTTTAGGAAACTCTATAGGTACAACAAGCAGGGTACAACAGACGCTGCCTCTCGAGCTTTGTAAGAGGCAAGCGTGTGGGAAAGGAATACCTGAGGGCCCGTATTTTGGCCGAGCAGTCGTTGCGCTTGTCGGCCCAGTTGGGGTCGTCCCAGTCCATGTCGAAGAACAGGATGGCCACTGCGGGCACTTCGGCCAGATGCTTGTGCAGCCAGTTGCTTTTGAGCAGACCTCGCTCCTCGTACCACTCGTACGACGGGTGCTGCAAGACGTCGACCAATGTTTGACAACAGTCAGGAGCAGAGGCGACGCAACATGCCCGACTCCCACAGGACTGTTTGCAGTAGTCAGCCTTCACATTGCAGCTACGTTAGTGATGAAAAGGCAGAAAGACACTATAGATTGGTGAGAATGCTAGAACTGTGCAAGAACTTGCAAAATGACTGTCAGAACAGCGCAACAAACTGATTGCCTACTTGTGGTAACTTGTGGGATGATATTGAGAGCGTAAAAACGGGGAACACAAAAGTCTGACAGGAATCAATGAAGCAAATACTTCAACCCTATGAATCTTAGTCATGCCTGTATCTGTTTATATGATTAACTTTTAAAAAAGCGTAGCAACACAATTGCAGAAAGCATCAATAACTAAAGTCTAGTAATCATTCTGACATATTCACTGCTTAATGGTCATAATCATTTGTACAAACCCCAAGCTTATGTACAAAGCGGTATTAAAGGGTCACAAAATTGAAACAGTGAAGTAATTTGATTGGACAAACGATTTTATGGAAACCCATCATAGATTCATTAATAGAAGAGAAAATTAAGACCAAGGTCTCACAGTAAATTTCACACGCTGATGTCAGCATGACAGGAGAGATTTCAAAGCGTTCTTCCACATTCCGGCTACAGTGTGTGAACGAGATTTCGTGAAACTTGACACATTTCAAGAAATGGTTTCCTCAAAGGACAATGTACTTCATTTTTACCAATCAAGAGCAATGCAGGCCCCCAGCACAAGCCATCAAAATTTACGACATCTTGAAGGGTTCATGCAAGAACTTCCAAAGTCATGTCTTGGTCTAGAATTTCCCTTTCGTGCATCTTCTCACTTTCCAGGTGTCGTCTTGGACAACAGTAGTGCTTTTGGTATTGTGAAAGCGTAATTTACTAATATATGAACAATTATTTTGCTCTATAACGTGTCTACTAGAAAACCATTCATCTTTTAACTGAATAAAGGCGTGCACGCAGTTACAAACCCTAGAACAGGAAATTGTACAAACCAAGAGCGCCTACTCGCAACTAAAGTTTATTCGAAAGAAAGATGGGTACATATATATCTCTTCTGTCACATGACCTGGCAGGTGAAACAGCAAAAAACAAAAATGGGGGTAAAATGGTTTTTTTGTTGTTTGTCAGTAGCCAAGCTGTAACCACTCTACCAGTGCAGAGGCAGCTTCTGCACCTGGCTCACTGCTCTGCGCAGTTTCTTTTTCTAGCTCCTTTGTAATATTCCAAGATTAAGACTCGTGTGTTACAACTGGCAGTATGCAGTAATTGTATCATTTTCACATTACGAAAAGCGGCAGATTGCCTGTCAGTATTTGAAGTGCCTGCGGTGGTATGCACACGCTTATATATTCAGTGAATTCCTTTTTGTGAGTAGGTCAATCAATCTGCGTGTAAATATTGTTGTACACACTGAAACGCTTCATTTCCAGTTGTAAACTCACAAACATGAATACAGAACTACGGGTATAGTTGACGAACGCTTCCGACGACTGAAAGTTAGTCGCTTTAACCCATACAGTTACGGAAGCGCCATTTTGCTTTTTGGAGCAGATTCTGGAGCATAAAAAATGGTGCTTTAGAGCAGGCTCAAGTGTCTTTGGAGCAGAAAAAAATGCTATAGCTTAGGGTTGCTATTGGTGTTTTTGGAGCAGATGCATGTTCCTACGACTCCTGAAACCTAAAACATCACTTAAGCATCTAATAAATATTTATATTTATTATTATACATGCCATATGCTAGTATAAGCAGTATAGCTGGCGTAAATCATGGGTGGGGGGATGGGAAAGGGTCAAGAGAGTTCGGACTTTTCTGGTGTTCAGGCTGAGGACACCCCTTGCAAGCGTCCCGCTTGAGATTTAGCATTAGCATGTGATATAATTGTGTTAACAGTTAAATATAGTGCAATTAACTTTTTAAAAGGATTTTTATCTTTTACTGTGTACCTGTGTTTAATGACCCTCAGCTGTGTAAACTATAGAAATCAAAAAAAGGTGAAAAAAAAAGACACTCAACAGAAAAATGCAATTGCTCAAGCTAAGATCCCATGCTCGTTTTTTTTTTTTTTTAATTTCATTTCAAAGCGTGATTTATTTCTTACATAAATAAAAATACCACCTATACTGAAAATACGAATTGGACACCATGGCCTGATATGTGTCACCCCCTTAGGATTTTTCTTAATTTACGCTATTGAGTAGCATACTAGGTTGATAGTACATACAGCTTGCTTTTGGCTTCACTTAGACTGACAGGATGGTCCCATTGTTCAACTTCATTCTTTTTAGTTTGCCAACATCCTTTCGGACCAGGTTCGGAACAATTACTAGCAAATATTGCACTTTGGAGCAGTATGGAGCAGCATTTCTCTTTTGGAGCCGTTTGGAGCAGCACTTCCATCACCGTCATGGGTACATGAAAGCAGGCATACAAAATAACAACACAAGTAGACTGAAAAATACTATAGACGTAAGACTTGGGAGTTTTGCGGACACGCAGCGCCACCTGTCCACGCAGTTTTGAGCCGTGCAAAGCCCGACTCTCTTGCACAGTTAGCTGCACAACCAGGTATAACCACAACGTTCTAAACAACGATTTAGCTAAATATTAAGTGCATTTGCGCATTTAACACTTAGAAAGAGAGCTACTTATTTCTCTCCGTTAGTCGGACACGTCACCGTACCGCCGTGAAGCACTTGGTGGTTCACTCACCAGAATGATTGCGAAAACGAGAGCAGACGCAAGAACTCTGTGCTCTACGAAAAAAGAGCCCAGTTGACGCTACTATTGCGTTGTGAACTGACACAGGCGTAAAGGATTACAGTTTTAGTAATTTCCGCAGCTTTCGCAAAGCAGAATGGTGAGAGTGCTGGATACGGGCCGTTGCTATTGTGTTGGGAAAGCAAAATACTCGCATTCTCCATAGCTGTCGCATTAGAAAGTGTGATAATTAAGGTCTTCTATTATTTGTAATCAGTTACCTTGACGAAGAATCATGGTAACTATAATTATAAAGCTTAACAGAGTCTCTGACCGCAGTGTGCGCCGTGAAGCAGTAGACAGGTGATGCATGCTATAAACATACCACACGCCACAACCACCGATAATTTGAAGTTGTAACAATCACACAGCATTTTTCACTTTGAAGGCTCTAAGTTCCGGCTTTAACAAGGAAATGCCAACACGTACGTCATACAGGTAAATCGAAAAATCATCGCGACCACAATCAGGTTCTTCTTACCATTGGTCTCCGCGATTGCCGGAGCTATCTCGGAGGCCCCGGTGTCGCCTTTCATTATACACCGATAAAGTAGACACACATGTATTCCCACTGGAGGTACATACCAATGAATGAAAACCGCCATGAGAACATCCTGGCATGCGTAATAAAACAATGCAATGTGCAGGAAGCGAGAGATAAATGGAGAATGCAACTACAAAGACGAAAATTGCCAGAGCTATTCGTGCCAGATGAAGCGAGCTTCATACCACTGATTGTAAGAAAGATTGCGCATGTATGTACTTCATCGCTTTGACATCATCTGTATGCCCAAGTTTAACACATTTGGGCATTACAGAATGCACATCGGAATGCATGCCTCGCACTCAATGTCATGCGATGCTCGCTTGCACCTAAATTGCCAGTTGCAGTACGCCGAAATAAACGAAACACCTCTCGCATTGTACCCACAGTTGGTTTTGATGAGCTTGCTACTTTTCTGAAGCAAGGTTGGATTGAAGGAAGAAGCCTGCTAGATCCTTGATATTTGGGAAACCGCACTTCAAGACTAAAAAAGAGGAGACCCTATGCACGTTCGGTTGCGGACGGCTCTCTTTGCACTACCCATTTAGGGCCAGCGTGTCAAAGGGGGACCTGGTGGCGTTTTTCGCAGCGCTGCCTGAGCAGAGTTCGACGTCTATTAAAGTTCACCACTAATCAGGTACTGTGTGTATTATGAATGACTGCATATCCATGCATTTTGAATATGAGATACTGGCTTGGCCGTATTCAGTGCCATTAAAATTTCAACAACTGAGGCTCTAGGCGCATGCAGAAGCACCGCGCCAGTAATTTGCACGCGAAATGTCGATATATATCATGCTGCACTTTCGATCACGATCGAGATTGAATTTATCAATCGCCATTGTTTTCCATCCCGCCTTGCAGAAAGAGCCAGTCTGATCAAAGTAAAAAAAAAAATGACAATGTCACAATTTCCTTTTTTTTTTTTTGGGGGGGGGGGGGGGGGTGTTCCGTATGTTGATATGCAGCAGCATGCAGCTACCTTGATCTAATCTCCAGTACAGACCAGGTTGTCACGTACTGTACCTGTCGTCGTTTGATACCGGAAACCTCTTGTCATAAACAATGCAGGAGGCATGTCACTTGACTCCAAAGTAAACATCGCGCAAGTAACGAACAAGTAATAAACAAGTAAAACACACCCTCCACTCGAACACACCGACGAAAAATATACCATCGAATTCGGCATATACATACCTTGGGCTTGGGTTTCGGGAAGACATGCTTGTCTGGCAGGATCACAAAGTTCAGTGGTGACCGATCCGGTCCACGATTGTTTGAAAAAGCATCCCAGATCGCGGCATGAATGTTGTTGGCTTGCGGTTCTAAACCGATGAAGGCAACGAACGCCTTAGGGCGGGTCTTCAGCTCTTCAGGCACTTCGCCGATGTCCAGAGGTTTCATGGTGGTTCCGTAGCGGTTGCGGCGACGACTCGGATAACCACAAAGGCCTTACAAACCCACTCGGTCGCATGGGCAAGCGGTCCACGAGAAGCCGGCAGCACGATTCACAAACAGATGCACTACGCGCACAGCAAATCGTGTGACCAAACGTCGCCAGATGCGCGGTTCAGCAGGCACGCCTTCGCACCTGCTGCCGCCGCACAAACCACGATTCCGGAACCGTCAACTCAAAAACTCGTCACCGCGATTTCATGAAGAAGACAAGCCTCCACTCCATCACGAGAACGCACCCACGTCGCGTCCCGAAACCACACATTCGAGGCTAAATTAAAAAAGACGAAGAAGAAAATCCGCGCTAACTCTCGTCCTCAGTTGCGCCACCGTGGCAAGTCAGCTGACCACAATTAAAAGAAAGAAGAAAACAAGCGAAACAAAACGTTCTTTAACCTCGACACCCATATCTCGTAGTGGTCATGGCCGCTGTCATCTGTATTTTCGGGCGTTCGAAGGAAGGCGTTACCACTTCGTCGTCACATCGGCTGGTTTAGACCGCGGGCGGCTGCAGCCGTTGATTGAGTCGGGCTGCGTAATCGCCGAAACTTGGATCATGACACGGCGACATCGTCCCTGACTGCGATCGGCCGAATGCCAGTGGAACGCGATGCCCCTCTTCAGAAGGAAGCCAGGTAGGAAGCGCTGCCCCGAGAGCGGATTCGAAATTGTGAAACTTGCGCGATTGTGTCACGTATTTTTCACCTGCTCGCGAACGCGTTGCTTCTTGCGCACCGCACGCGATGGGGCCATCAAGGCCTCCGCTGCTTTAATTATCGTGTTATTTTCCCTTCCGCCGTAACAATGTAGACGACCTCGCGCGTGTGCGGAGTTTGGAAGTCACGACTTCTCCAACCGCCTCATCACGAGCGCACCAAGTTTGGCAGTTGCTGCTTTAGGAGAGGCGGTGGTTTCTCGAATTATTTTCCGATTGGGGATATGCGTACCAGTTGAGGTGAATCTGAAGAATGTTCCGCGACACGGCGGATCCGGCCCGCTCGCGTGTGTCGAAGCATTTGATTTCCGCGTCCTGAGCGCTTTGAATCGTAAACTTGTGCGAGCGTACCGCACGCACTGTCCAGTGACAGCACTTTGGTTTTGACGGGCGAATGTTTGCACCGCGCGTCGCGGCGTTGTGTCAGATGTAAACATTTCCTTCAAGCATCCGCCTCTATCCTTGTGACACACATCGCAATATTCCGTGCACGCCGAGCACGGAATTGGTGCTGCGAAAATCTTTCCTTCCTTTTGTAATGCGAGGGACGTTCACAACGCTGTGGCCTAATCTTCAATTACATTCCGTGCGCGTTATCGGGTCATTCTATATGAATGGAACACGTCAGTTCGATGGTGCGCGCGCTGAGAGTAGAAGTTCTCGCCGCTAATTAACGCGTGCTGCTCATTTCGTTCCTCGTTGTTGTCGAGGTCTTGGGGGCGCTCAGCCTAGAAGTTACAGGAGCGAACGACATCGTCGAGCGCTTCGCGTTCCGATCGTATCCGATTCACGTCCGCTGCGCCGCATCGTCAACCTAAGATGTGCCAGTTTAAGTGACGATCATATTTCGTTTCCTTCTCTGGATTGCCTGTATACATTGAAGTTGTATGAACAATCGGCGGGCTTTAAAGAGCCGGACGGACACTGTCGGAAGGCTTGTTCAATGGCGCAAGGACGCATGGCTAACGGCCAGAAAGGGGGAAGGGGCTCACCCAGTAGTTAAGGGGATGCCCCCTCTACGTGCATAGTGATCAGCAATTACATGTATATGTGTACTCTCCTTCCAAGCACGTACTTAGGCAAACTGGAGGACCTCCTCAAGCAAACCAAGAGAGACCTTCAGCCCCCCAAAAAATCTAGAAAGCAATTGAAGTTCATGGAATGGACGGTGGAAAAAGCACACTAGATAGGTGCTGCTTTACTTTGCCTGTGGCTGATGAGTCTCTTTATTATGCCTTACCCCATCCCTCACTGTAAACCGTGTTAATAGATGAGCACAGGTGTGACCAAGTGAACTGCTAACCTTCATTTAACCTCTGTGTCATCTATGCTTCTCTTTTTTTATAGTCCTTTTTGTAACATGGAATGTACAGAGCCATAAATATTTAGTAATGTGGCAGATTAAAAACAGCATCACTTGGTGTCATCTGTTGATACCAAGGGGTCACTATCACACTCACACTATCATTGGGAGTTGAATTTCACTGCACTGCGAGCAGAGGTACCAAAGTTGCACGAGACACTCAATCCCGACAGTTACATCAAACAATCGGGGTTGAGTTTCTTTGATGTGATTAGCCCCATTCTTTAGCTTGCTCAAACGAAAAACACGAATCAAAGGTTATGTCAGAACTTTGCTGATAGATTTTACTGGCAGGTCACTGTGGCCATTCCTATGAGGATCAATGTTACACTCATTGATGTTCCGATTCCCTGGTTCAGGCGTTTCCTTCGTAGCTATGTTAGAGCTTTATTAAAATATTATGTAAGGGGCACCAGTACAAGTTTATCAGTGGGGTACGCTCAATCCTTTTTTACTATTGCTTAGGCACCTCTGAAAAGGCAATGTTACATTCATCCAGGTCACTGGTATAAAATTTTTCTTGTGTTTGCAAGCATATAGGGTGTGAATTGTGTGCACATGCAAACAGCAAGGCGACCCAACTTATAGCATTACTTTCACTGTGCTTTTATCCTGTGTGTTCTTCACTTGTAGAAAATTAATCCTTGCCAACTATCATAACGTTGAAGCAAGTCCTTTGTATTGTTTAAGTTCATTTTTCTTGAAATTAAAAGGGTGTCATCTGGAGTTAATTTTTTGTGGATAAATTTGTGGTGTTTACCGCATTTTAATTCCCATAAATCTTCAATTCTCTGAAATTCGGTGTTCAATTATAGATTATAAGTTGTTGGAATTAGTTTTAATTTTATTTTTAATAAAAATGCATGGCATTTTTATTGTTGCTTGTAATCCTGTTTTTCTATCATTTCTTTTTTTCACTCGCTTATTTGCTGATTCTGTAAGGCTGTTGGTGTGCACTGCTGTAAGCTCGCCAGAATGTTCTTTTGGAGGGTGGGAGCTAGTCAAGCTGCTTCTAAGCTTTTGCTGCTTTCTCAACCACTCTGCCACCTTGAAATATTCTGCAGAACTGTCTTGACAGGCTGCCTCATCTTCTTGATGCAAAATAAAGGACTTGTTATTAATAATAATTTCAATACTCCAAATTTTTTTATGAAGTGATATTTCAGTGTGAAAACATGCAAACACACCAAATGTATTTTTGATGTCTGGAAGGTTCGAATGCCCAGACTCTTATGTACACACAAACACTTGAATACAGAAGGCCTATGTTTGTTTGTATAACCACATGAAAGCCTGTAATAAACCGCTGCCCACTTTATGAAGTTGCTAGCCCACTGCGGTGGTGTGGTCGTTGTGGTGCACGGCTGCTGACCCAAAGTTTGCGAATTCAATATTGGCAGTGGTTTTCACACTTCGATAAAGACGAAATGTTAGAGGGCCATGTATTGTGCAACTTCAGTGCACTTTAAAAAACACCAGATGGTCAAAGTTTCTGAAGCTCTACACTACAGTGTCGCTCATACTATATCATGGTTTCGGGAAGTAAAACCTCAAGTAATAATATTTACGAAGTCGCGGTTGCTGGTGGAAGTGCGCTATTTTTTAATGAAGATTCCCAGCTTTGCAAATGCCCTTTCAACATTGAAAATGCTTTTTTAAAATCAGTTTATCAGATAAACTCTAACTGTAAAGCTTTAGCGGTGACTGGTTATAAAATTTTTTTTGGGTTTATCTGAAAACACAGAGTGCTACTTATAATCCACCTTTACCATATATTTTGCATCTTCATGATTGCTAGATATGTACAGCTAAGAATTTTTCATCTGGTGGGTTTTCTCACGTCGATTGGATGTGGACTTGAAGGACTGAATATAGTGTATCAGGCATTTCATGCCTGCTGTATGCACTGTGAAGCCATCCATCCATTGAGCCAATGTGTCTGAGATAAAGCAGTGCGGGCAGCATACTGACGTTGTGCAAACACCCAACATGTCAAAGTGATCCAATCAAAATTGTATTAGGCTGTCTGTAACATGTGCTGCACATTATATTTCACCTGTTTCATTGCCATTCACCTAGTCTTCCTGCTGGCCACAGTGCTGTTTCTAAAATAACAGGGAAAGATTAGGCCAGCCTTGCATAGTATATCATTTTTGAGGTTGCAGTGCCCAGCAGTTAACATGGAAAAACTGAAGCAAGCATACATGACATGGAAAGGGGGAAGCAAGCATATGTGCAGCTAATTACTTTTAAATTACTGGAAGGGTGGCATCACAGTCACCGTGAGACAAGTGATAATGCTATGTCTACTGTGCCACTGTCCGGCACTGTCAACTACTGCTTAGTCGCTTAGAGTGCCAGCCACACTTTGACAGTGTGCTTGTCGTGTGCGAACAAACCAAATGCCTATAGATACCTGGCAGCCTCTCTATACTGTCTTAGAAGGCCTATGTGCATTGCAATTTGTCATTCTTTTGTGTACGTCCTACATTGAGTGCATACAGTGGCAGGTCCAAGCAGCTATGTTGTCAAAGGGTGATGGCACCATCTCTCGATCCTCCTTAAAGCATGCCATCTAGTCGGACACAGGTTAAGAAGTCGGGAGAGCCCAGATCACGGAAGCGTTGTTGCCGATCACTTTGAGAACTAAAGAGACGGTACCAATCGTGCACTCGGCTGTGTTCTTTGAAAGTTGGGCAACGGCCATAGCGCATTATGTCTGCCAATTTGTGCCCATTGGTGCAGGTTTGTGCGCAGCCACGTTTGAGGAGGAAGTGCCCCGTACTTCAGCCAATGTATAATAATGCTACTTCATTATCATCATGACTATAAGATGCATCACTGGCTTGTGCAAGTGTACATTTCTTTCGACCGACCCGACTGCTGCTGATTAGCTGAGTGGTAACGTTGGTAATCGACCAGTTGCCTTGCCCTTCAACGCAGACAAGCCACAAGATGCGGGTGAGCTCGGAGGTGAAGTGTCTGGTCGGCAGGTGTCGAGGCATGGCTCACAGGCCAGCCTCCACAACGGTGCAGTTCCTGCCGACATCAGTATGCTGGAGGACGCTGCCCCTCCGCCACCGTCTCCACTACAGTCGGGTGAGTAGCAGAGACCACGTGTGCTCACCACTGGCCTCTTCCTTCTTGTTATCTGGGAGCTTGGGAAGCTCATGCCGTCTTGGCCAGAAAGGCAGAATTGTTTAAGTTTTCTTGAACGCTTGAAAGAAAGTTTTCCGTTTCAGGATAAATGAGCTGTGTCACATTTAGTAGCACTACAAATATTTTTAGCAGACTGGTGCTTCCCGTTACACATACTGTGAGCTCTCAGTAAATGGCTGCTTAAATGGAACAAGTGCTTCTGACAAGATTGGTTTCACTCTTGCATTCTGCACCCCTGGTCATCTCTCGGTAAACAGAACTCCTGTTAAATGGAACATATTTTGCTAGACCCATAAGCTTTCATTTAATGAGTCTCCTGTATAAAAAATCATCAGCCTGACTACTCCCACTGCAGGGTAAAGGCCTCTCCCATAATCCACCAGTCAACCCAGTCCTGTGCCCACTGGTGCCATCTTATACCCACAAACTTTTTGAACCCTCCTAGCTCTCCCTATCCCCCTCTAGCGTTCGCATTCTCTTGCAATCCAGTTTGTAACTCTTGATGACCAGTGGCTATCTTGCCTGTGCGCTACATTCCCATGCCCTTTTCTTGTTCTCGTTTGCGACTAAGATGCCCTCAACACCTGTTAGTTCCCTGACCCACTCACTGGAACACACTCAATCAATAGACATTATGTAGAACAGCTGTTATATTATAGTGATAATTAGTTTACATAAATCACTACATCAAATGTGTTGTCCTAAGGCTATGTACTCATACCCTAGTATAAAGAGTTATCAGTTATAGCGAAGTAAGAAAACAATAGCTTTGTCATAGGCATAGTATTATGAACAATAATTTATAATGAATTTTCCGATATAATGAAGTATTGTCATGGCAGATGTGACTTAGTTATTAGGTCTGGGTGTAATTCATCCACCTTTATACATCTAATACAAGACATAGCGTGTTTCGGTTGCTAGCTAAGAAAGCGTGCCCATAGCAAAAAAAAAAAAAGCGTTGCTTTGCCTCTTCCTTGGTGTTCAAGTCCATATCTTGGTGCTGTCATGCAATGGTGGTCATATTTTTGTGGACACAAGCAGTATGCCTGCGATTCTCACTTGTGGGACAAATACTTCTACCTTTCTTTAATATAAAACACTTTTATGTGTGTGAATGCAAGTTATGAGAGAAGTCTCCGAACTTGATGCCATTCCCCACTGCATGTGAAGTGGAATGTAGTATGTTACGCCTTGTTTTTGGCATTGCAGTGCTAGCAGACTCTAGTCATCTTTCAGGAGCCTGGTAGTACGCTGTCATGTGAGACGACTCCGAAGTTGTGTTTTATATCATACAGGGTCTCATAGTAATGATTTGACTTTGTTATCATCATTGCAACTAGCTTCTTGTTGGACAAAGTGTCTTGGAAGAAATGTGATGCGGACTAGTTAGGTTCCATTTGTGGTAATCAGTGCAACGACTCCAGGGCATGGAAGCATGCAGAAGGGAATCACATGATCAGCGTGGTATTCGATACCTTACATAGAATTCGAAGCAGTGTTTGAAGTAGATTTAGGGGGTCTCTAGGAACTCCAATGGGCCGTGCGCCTCAAATAATATTTTAGAAACGGGACCTCAGCCCCCTCTTGCTTTGTTATCACGGCACTAAATGCACACATACATATCCCCCATCGTAGATGGGAATGCCCGTGAGCCATTGAGAACACCCGTGAGCCGTATACGGGCCATTGCTGTTCATAAGCCTTTGCCATATGTGCTGTCTGCCGTGGAGAGCGTTTCTCTTCCGAATTCCGTCAGAGTAATGCTCTTAACAGCAGTCGGCTTGCTTTTAAACGGTAAATAATTCCCGTTCTGTCTCAGTCACAAGCACGTGTTGCGAATTGTTGGAGCACGCTGTTGCATGTTACATTCAAGAATTTCTAACCGATCGAGGTCTATTGGCACTACATCAACACGGCTTCAGAAAGTCAATGTCTATAGTTACTCAATTGGTTTCTACAGTGCACGAGATCTTGGCTGTACAGTAGACTCTCAGTAAACGGAACCTGAAGAGAACGGGAAAGTATGTTGCATTTAACAGGAGTTCCGTTTACTGAGAGGCGAATATAAGTATGGAATACAAGCTCGAAACCAAGCATTGCAGGGCAAATAATTCCATTTAAGCAGTAGTTCTTTTTAACAGATTTCCATTTACTGAGAGCCTACTGTACTTGATCTCTCTGGGCAGGTGGAATTTTTATTTCTACATTTTTCGAAGGCCTTCCATAAAGTATCATATGGTAAGCTATTGTATAAGATGGAACGCCTCGGCCTGCCATCCTTCATTGTTAAATGGATTAGTGCATATCTTTCTAATAGAAAACAATTTGTAGAAATAAAAAAATTCCTTATCCCCTGTGCTTCCTATTATTTTGGGAGTGCCTCAAGGTAGTGTTTTAGGCCCTTTGTTATTTCTTATTTATGTAAATGATCTGGTTGAAGTGGTTCTTGGTACTGTATGAATACGGTCACTTGCTGATGAGTGGGTTGTTATCGGGAAAATCTCAACTGCAAATGATTACACCTTTTTACAAAACAGTGTATCTACGATTGGAGATGGGTGTAGGTTTTGGGGAATGGTTTTAAATTCAGCAAAAACAGTGCTACTCCGTGCAACTACAAAAGAAAACTAGTCTGTACTTTTGTGTATTCAATTGATAAGTCGGGTCGCAGAAGTTTAGAAGTTTGAATACTTCGGTGTTACACTAACAAATAAGTTCACATAGTCAGATCATATATCTGATATTTGTGCAGCCTGTGTCCGGAAACTGGAGCTTCTTAAAAGAAAACTTAGGAAAGTACCCAGTAGCATCAAACTTCTAACATACAATGCCTGCATAAGGTCTAAATTGGAGTACTCATCTGCATTATTATGTGGGATCTGCAGTATTAAAATGATATTTTGCAATTAAAAAATGTTCAGCGTAAAGCAGTGAGATGTATATTTGGAAAATACAAAGGTCTAGATTCCCCTACACAGTTGATGCTCAGTAACATACCAACGCTGGAGGCCCAGAGAAAAGTTAACCGCCTTTCATTCCTTCACGACTGCCTAGCAGGTAAAATCAATTTATCTCTCCCAGCATCTGTTCAGCGTGTTAGTACAAGAACAACACGGCACAATCACAAACATTCATTAGCACCAATCTTCGTTCGCACTTAAGCATTTCATTACGGCTTTTTCCCTGTACGGTCGTGGATCGGAATGCGTTGCCAAATAGTATAGTCAGCTCCGATGTCTTTGTTAGCAGTATACAATGCCATGTTTTAAAGGTGTAGCACTTTTCGTTGTTGCCATTTCTGCTTGCTCCTACCACATGTTTTGATGGCCCTATTTTTCAATGATTGTCGTACTAATTCCATCGTTTGTTTTGTTTATTATGTTTGCCCATTGCATTGCTTGTATATTTAATTTTGCATTGTTCGTGAAGCCCATCTTACTCAAGCCAAAATGTTGGCTTGCAGCATTTCAAGAAGTAAAGATGGTGGGTGATATTGTCTTGTGCTTCTGTGGTCTGTAGACTTTTGCTCACAGGTGTAGCTATACAGAAGCAGACCAAAATGTCTGCCCCCTTCTCCCCCCTCTAATGAAGAGATTACAGTGAAAGCTGTTCTGGGAGATCGCAACTATGGCCAATATTGGTGCCATGATAGTTTGCTGCCACCGGGAACTGTAACTATGTAACTACCATACTTAAAGATTAAAAAAAAACATGAGGGTAGAACTGGGTTCAAAACCAGGCCCTCTACATGGCAGCCCAGTATTCTACCACTGAGCTATTCCGCTGCTTGACACTCCTTTGTAAACTGACCTTATGGAGACCTTGTGTGAGGTAAGGAATTGCATAAACATATGTAATAAAGTGTTTCAGAACAGTGAAGTAACAACCAGATCGCACACAATGCGGATAGCATCACGAATGTGTCATTTGTTACTTGAACCCATGACAAAAGCCTGAAGCATAATTCACCATCATCTTCAGCATCAACAAAGTGCACATAAATATAGTTGTGTAGCGGGTAGCATGCTTCTCCAAATAATGCCATAGTAAACACTTCCCTTCTACACATGTAATACCATGATTTATTGTGTAGTGGGTGCCATTCAAGTGTGCTTGTAGCAGTAGTTCCCCCAAGAGTGTTTAAAATTGTACGAGAAAATACCCCCCCTGCCCTCCCCCCAAAAGTGAATTTGCCATTTTGTCACCGAAAAATTCACTGGAATCTGTGGCAGCCCCACGTCAAGCGGTCGCTCCTAGGTGGTTTAAATGTCCCACGAAAGTGCGCTGCCCGCCCTCTGGTCTAAGCAGTATGCGCACTTAAAACTTCGTTCTTCTCTAATAGCGCTTTTTTTTATACATTTTTAAACTTCAATGTACCGTTTCTGAAAAAGATTGAATTGATTTTGATGAAACTTTGCATGCACAAGCTACAAGTTGGAAACAATCTGAACTAAAAAAGTTTTTATTGTTGCAAAAAGTGATGCTGTAAAAAAATTGAACATCAATACCCTCTGTGGCTTTGTGAATGCAGTAACTTTGTATTTTTTCACATAAACTCCACAAACGATGTCCTATTTTTGTACTTTAGATATAACCTATGTGTCTCTGCGATAACTTGGTCAAACATCACTACATTCCTTTCAGTGGTTGCAGAGAAAACGTACATTGAGTAAGTGGACCCACTTTAAAATTTGAGAGTAGGCCACAAGAAGGATAGGCCATCCAGGCATAAAAAGAGAGTGCCATGTGATAACCAGTAGCATTCTTTGTGAGCCCGTGAAATTTCATTTGAATACTTGCTGTAGTTTATGAAATATTGTGTGTAAACTTGTATATACCATTTACCCCACCATACCCCCTTTAAAAAGGCTGTAGAAAGGCCGCTCTTCCAGCTTTCACTGTGACAGTGCTGTGCAGTCTGGCACACCTGGCGTTATTTTTTTCTTTAACTTGGTTCGCAGCAGTAATAGAACATTCCAAAATGAAGGCTTAAGGTGGCCATTCGGCTGTTGCCAATATTTTGGTAATTTTGAACTTTAGTACAGTTTTTGAGACTAATGTCTTGATTCTGTGCAGCGGAAGAGGAGTATGAACCAAACCTGTGCGTGCGGACAAAGTCTTGCCTCTCGAAGACCCTTGATGAGGTGCTACAGGATGCCGGGGCACTCGCCTACTTCATTCAGTTTGCAGAAGAGCAGGGTGCGCGACCCTTGGTAAAGTTCTGGATGGAGGCCCAGAGCTTTCACGCCTCGTGCATTCTCCGTCGCTCGTCTGCTTCGCACCAAACTTCCATCAAGGACTTACCACTGCCCCATAGGACGCCGGTGAACGGGGAGAAAATAGAAAGGGACGGAGAGAAGCATTCGGCGGGCGACTGCCATCCAGTGGTCTGCCGCGACAGGGAAAAGCGCCCCCAAGTCACAGATTGTGATGTTTCTCGTCGGCAGGCCGACCGCGGGCCTCTTGGTAACGGACACGAGGAGGACGTGGCTCGTTGCCAGGACAACAAGCAGGTGACGTCCGAAAGTTCCTCGTGTCTAGGTTCACAAAAAAACTCAAGCAAGAGTTTGCGAAGCCAATGTCTTTCATCGACTCCGCGTTTGGATGGTGCGGCGGCAGCGGTGCCGTTTGGAAAGGACCCTCTGCAGGCAGCAAGTTCGTCTTCCGAGAATTCACCACAAGCCTTTGTGGAAGGTTACAGTGCAAATCTGTCGTCCGTGCAGTGTGTCTGCCCCCGCGAGTGGGACTGTGCACCGGGCATTGCTGCAAAGGGGAGTGCGGGTGAAATGCCCTGTGGTGTTGTGCAGCAGTCGAAGGGTGGTGAAGGTGAAGTGGGTGGTCACAGGGGCAGTGTGGGAGGTACAAACTCGAGGTCATTGTTCACGTGCAATCTGAATGGCGTACAGTCGTCTTCTCGGGAAGGAGATGATGTCGATGCGTCGACCGGTGAGACCTTCGACGGTCAAGACATCTCGACGGGGCCGTCGCCGGGACGGCGTGATAGTAAGTTGCTCTTATCACTGCCCTCATGTTGCTTGCTGCAGTCGTTAGTCATGGCATAATGAGCTAAGAGTATTAAAAGCTCGAAAAGCAAATCATAGGTGCCCGCGTCTTGACTTCGGTTCAGAAAAAATTTTATGCTTTCGGAGCTGTGGCCATCTAGCCTTATTCTCTTTTTGTCGATACTTGGACTTGGTATTCTAGTACTCTGTCATAGATACAGGTAACTGCTACACATTGACAGTTGTAGCTTTTTGCAGGATTGCACTGTGTTGCCAAGCTGAAATTATGGACCAGGAAAGACAACTCTGTTGGTTGTTTTGACAGTTACTTTCATGCAGATGTCAGTCCACAAAGCCAATGTAATATCCTGTTATCATATGATGTTGGTGGGACAGCAGGAAACAATTTTAAATAATCTCTTGTTTTTGTGGGTGTGAAAAATTGAATTCTGCTTTTTTTATTTTCCAAGGCAATGATACTAATATGAGGCATGGTGTAGAGGGTTTTGGTCACCTGTGTTTTCTTATTGCGCACTTAAATCTTGACGGACCGGCCACCTGTGATCTTAAGATCAGCAGTGATACGTCTGTGACTTTCTCATTCAATAACTAGCCCGACCGGCATTATTTACCGAACCTGTCACAGACGTATCACTGCTGATCTTAAGATCACAGGTATATATATATATGTGACGTTTCACAAGTGAATGTGGGCAAGGAAGATGAGGAAGACGAAGGGTCAGAATAAACTGGTGCTCTGACTGACGCCATGTCTCATCCGTTACACTAAGTCGACAGGATCTACCGCAGCAACATCATGAGCCCACCAAAGAAGATGATCAGCCTGCCGAAATACACCGGAGCTGAAGACGACGTCCCTGTTGACAAGTGGTTGCACCTCTTCGAAACGAAGGCGAGCAACGTCAGCTGGTCCGAACGAGATCGCATCGACTGCATCAGCGAGTACCTGAAAGGTGAGGCCTTCCGCTGGTACCTCACCGAAATTTTCGACACAGAAGATACGTGGGAAGGCATCAAAACAAGCATGATATCACGATTTTCTGCACCTGTTAGCGACCCTTTCCGCCAATTCATACACTGCAGGCTCAAAAGAGAACAGCGCATCAGGCACTACTACGAAGAGAAGACACACCTTGGTCGCCTCGCAGACTTGAAAGACGTTCACATAGTATCAGGATTGACTGATGGTGTACCTGAAAAGATCGAAAGGCGCCTTGCTGGATTGACGCTCACCACCCCAGCCAAGTGGCTTGCTGCTGCGCTTCAAGCGGAAGACTCTGTCCACAGAGATGCTTCCCAACACTCGTCAAAACGGCAGCTCATGCGTCGAGAGCCTCATTCTACGCGACCATGGCTCCCTACAGGATTGATGCGCACCCCTCACAGTGAGTGCCGACATTGTGCATCTGCTGGTTTGCCGAATCAGTTTCACTGGCACAATGAGTGCCCTCGTCGTGAAATGGTGTCTGCTCTAACTGACAACCAGGGAAACGAAGAGGGCGGCCCAAAGGCTCATTAATACGTTTTGGTGCACTTGTGAACGGACACATGGTAAACGCAACTCTGGATACAGGAGCGACTATTACCTGTATCAATGAAGTTGTGTTCAAAAAACTCAAGCTGCAGTTGCTCAAGGATTCATGCATTAGTGTCCAACAAGTCACCTCAACCACAAAAACTTTGGGTCGCGTACACATACAGTTGGAAATAGGGAAGTTAAAGCGGGCAGTCCAAGCACACGTTCTACCAGGCATGAAGACTGAATTCTTGCTAGGCCTGGACAACGCCTCCTTTTTCAACCTATCACTGGATTTAAACACAATGACTTTGTTTCAAGACAACAAAGCTTTGCAGAATTCCTTTCAAACACAAAAGTGTGTCTTCAGCGCCGATACAACCCCTCTCCAAGCCGTTGATGTCACGCACCTTCCACCATCGCAACAAGCTGCTTTGAGAGAGGTGCTTCACAGTTACGAAGACATTTTCTCAAAGTCTCAGATGGACTTCGGAATTATCGCGGAGGAACGACACTGCATTGCCCTCAGCAACAACGTGCCTATCCACAGACCACCGTATCGATGCTCCCTGGCAGACAAAGAGGAAATTGCCAAGCAAGTGGACTTACTTCTCAAGCAAGGTGTAGTGCGTCCATCTTTTTCCCCATACGCGGCTCCAGTCATTCTTGCAGAGAAAAAAGGTGAAGGACGCACACGTTTATGCATTGATTATCGAAAGCTTAACTCTGTCACTGTGCCTGACTACCAACCTATTCCGCGTATAGACGATGTTCTAGACTACCTGGGAAAATCAAAATATTTTTCGACATTGGATATCACATCAGGCTATTGGCATGTCAAAATGAACCCAGAGGACATCCCAAAAACAGGTTTTGTCACGCCGAATGGCCATTATGAGTGGCTTGTTATGCCTTTCGGTTTGAGAAATGCTCCTGCTACATTCGAAAGAGCTGTGAAATCAGTTATCAGAAAACATAACTTAAAGAATGTCGTTAATTATTTTGATGATATCGTAGTCTTCTCCGACACATTTACTGAGCACCTACAGCACCTCCAAGCTCTCTTGCATGCCCTAAAAATGGAGAATATAAAACTTAAATTGAAGAAATGCCATTTTGCCCAAGATTCTATTGAATATCTGGGTCACAGAGTGTCGCACGGTACAGTGTCGCCTATACGAAGAAACATAGAAGCTGTTTTGCGATTCCCAAGACCGAAATCCCCGAAAGAGCTTCAGCGTTTTTTAGGCACCACTGGTTTACCGCCAGTTTATACCGCACTTCAGTGACATAGTTTTCCCACTTACGAAGCTGTTGAAGAAGGACACACCATGGGAATGGGATTCCTCATGTGAACAAGCCTTTGAGAACATGAAAAACTGTCTGACCAAAGAACCCATTTTACGAATTTTTTCTTGCGAGAAACCATGCATTCTTTATTGCGACGCATCTAACGTAGGCGTAGGTGCAGTTCTGAAGCAAAGAGATCATGATGGTAAAGAACACCCCGTTGCCTATCACTCGCGTAAGCTACTCGCGCACGAATTAAATTATGCCATTACAGAGCTCGAATGCCTCGCTATAATTGACGCTGTTGACAAGTGGCACTGCTACTTACATGGACGACCATTCACTGTTGTCACCGATCATGCTGCTTTACAATGGCTCAGAAACATAAAAAACCCACATGGCCGGCTCTTTCGATGGTCTTTGAAGCTGTCGATGTATGACGTTAACATTCGACATCAAAAAGGCAGCGAAAACATCGAGGCGGACGCATTTTCGCGAAGCCCTATGGTTCAACTCCTTTCATTACCAGAACTTCAAACTTACCAGAATGACCACCCTCGCTGCAAGTACACAACGGAAAACAGGGTCACTATCGTGACACGTAAGGGAATTCGCAAAGTGTACGTTCCTCTCAAGCTTCGACTGGGCCTGCTGCAGAAAGCACACTGTCAGTTCGGACACGTCGGAGTAAAGAAAACTCTGGGCTTGTTGTCATCATCCTACTATTGGCCGGAAATCATCACAGACGTTTCATCCTACGTCCGCCACTGTGACATATGTCAGCGTTGCAAGAAGCCGAAAACCAAGAGATTCGGATCTCTCGAGTCACTACCACCTGCAGAACAACCCTTCGATCTTTTAGCAATGGACACTATAGGTGGCTTTTCAGGATATGGCTCGACAAAGAAGTTTATTCACTTGGCGATCGACCACGCTACGCGGTATGTCTGGGCGTTTCCCCACAAGAACGAAACTTGTGACGCATACATTTCGTGCATCACCGCCATCTTTGCAGCAGGAAAACCCAAGAAGTTCCTATCTGATCGTGGACCAGCTTTCACAGCTGGAAAATTCAAGCAGTTTCTAAAACGCAATGTTGTCCACCAATTGTTCACATCCTCCCAACACCCTCAATGTAATGGCATGAACGAACGTACAAATCAGACTATTGTAACCCGGCTAAAGTGCAAAATGAATGAGCAGCCACAGAAGTCTTGGGTCAAACATCTTTCGGATGTTGTCGATGAATACAACAGAACCCCACATGAAGTAACACGATATCCACCATCGTACCTAATGTATGGAATTCCTTCATACGACACAATTTTAGACGCACCAATGGAGAGTGTGCAAGAAGCAAGGAAAAGTGCAATCAAGAACACGCTTGCCTATCATGAGAAGAACAAGATAATCTACGACAAAAAATTCCTACCACAAGATCTCCAACCTGGTGAATTGGTCCTCTACGAAACACCTTGGCACCCGAACAAAGGAAAGCTCAGTTCAGTCATGGAAGGACCTTACACAATTCTTCGCAGAGTCTCTCCTGTGGACTATGAGATCGACCGATGTGTAGCTCCGTTAAGCAGAACTACTGATATTGTGCACGTCAACAAACTGCGTCGCTACTATTGTCCCAATAAGTTGACGCTCTCTCGGGGGGAGGGGGAAACGTGTGACGTTTCACAAGTGAATGTGGGCAAGGAAGATGAGGAAGACGAAGGGTCAGAATAAACTGGTGCTCTGACTGACGCCATGTCTCATCCGTTACATATATATATATATATATACATACACAAATATATATATATATATATATATATATATAAGGGAAAGCAGTGCATACCTAAGGGCTCGTTTTTCCGTGTTTTAACACAATATTATTGATATCTAACAGACAGTAATGCCAAGGAATGTACAGGGGAAGTTATTAGAACTAATGGAATGTAAATAAGAAGAAAGAAGAAAGAAAAGTGGATGAAAAAATAACCAGCCGTGAGCAGGAATCGAACCTACGACCTTCGAATAACGCGTTCTATATATATATATATATATAATAAAGCATCGTTTTTCGTTTGCTCGTTCGCTTCTTCTGGTGACTTATATATATATATATATATATTTATATATATTTGCGCAAACACAAAAAAACCACTATGAGGGAATGCTAAAAT